TTCTAGTTTGTTCCTTGCAGATTGGTCGTTTAGCTGACTTATACGACGAGGAACAGTTCGGGAAAATAACCCAGAGACAACAGTTATTCAACGAGCCAATGCCGAACTTGAATTGAAGAACAAATTGATCTTCCTTCGAATTTCCGCAAAATATGAGAGAATCTACAGAGGAATAATCTTCCAAGTGGTAGAACAATGACTTCTTCCCTTCCTCGATATGCGATAAAAATGATATACTTTTTGATGAAGTATATTATGATGTGTTTAATGAAAGGTTGGATATACTATCAAGCAAGAGGATAACCGAACGGAAGAGTCAATCGGAAATCGTATCCCCAACAGAAATGGAACTTACTGATCTAATCCTTTCTTTTACATAATGACCCAAGATCACTTATCTCTGACCTATTCTGTGATAAATCGGTGCTCATGCCCTGAACAACTGCTGTCTTTGGGTTATATTCCCGATGAGTGACCCACTTTCTCCGCGTTTCGACCTGGGTCAACCCATATCAATAAACTCCTCCCCATTAATCCGTCAACAGTAGATGCTCCATCCACGCTCTGACATACCATCATCATTCTTCTAATCATATTCAGTCTGGTGCTTTTTGTAGAATCGTGTTGAAAACAGTCAACTCTTCAACCACTCTCATCTTTCAAGCTAAATATTCAGTGAAGATTCGATTTCAGGCTATTGCTAGTTTCAAGTACAACTGGCGGACATGTTTCTTGTGGGTTTGGTTTCAACAATTTTGTGCTCTAAGTCTGTGAGTCCTGAAGCTCCCAGAAATCTTCCTCCGCTTTCTGAGATCCAACAATGGAATAAACAGGTGATGAGGAATGCTGATAGAGACGGATTGGATAACTTCCTGTTCTCGTAAGTTACTTCTAACTCTAGCCTACTGAGCTTTGTTTTTGAAGTCTGTATAAAGAGACCGACACATACTTTCAATGGTTCACTAATCATTTCAATGATAAAGAAGAAAGAAGAGTTCCATGTGGTGAAATACTCAGTATAACACATTGTTACAATAGAACCAGAGTGTTTTTGGATATTCAATCACTAGGGTATGTCCAAGGCTTGTCTGATCCTGTTCTAGCCTCTTCAACTATAGATTTATAAAATGGCAAACCATTGTTGGTATTCAAATTCCCGGTGAACCTGTGCAGTGTCAAAGCATTCTAGGATACCAACCTTTAATCGATTTCTTGAAGAGCATCAACAAGAGAAAATGTAGCTATACCGGTCTTTTTTTCTTTTTTGAAGTTTTTATTCATTACAGTTGATGTCGCGATAAATGAACTGTGCGATGGAATGCACCGATGGTTTGTTAATACTCTGGAACCTTACCTCCAATTCATCAGTGGAACGCGTTCCGAATCCCTATTTGAATATAAAGATCATGCCAATTGTAATCTATGTCTGACCGAGAGAGAATGGATCTTCATAGTCATTGCTTGTGTAGTACTTGCTCTCTGTATTCAGAACATAGTACTCTCTCGATTGAGAATAGAACGAATCAGAATTCATAATCCAGTTTCTAGAACGTTGTAAATGTCATATGTTTCATACGTCTCACATGTTTAAATGTTGCTCGAATAAATGATCTCTAGAATGATATCGACGCCATTATCTTATATAATTGATGGTCTCACATTCGCGGCCAGCACGTTGTATGGATTATCAATAATTTATAGAAATGATTCAAGATTAGCAAAAAAAAGACACAGGTAAGAATTTAATATCAGCATAGTGCAACTGGCATTAGGAAAAATCAAGTTTTGACCTCTGAGCTCCTCGTTAACTACCTTGCACCTTCTCATGCATCTCATTAACTACTTTACTTGTAAACTTCCTTCAATATATCATATAATTAGAAATCGGATATACAAAACTTACTTTCGACTTGTTGTATGAATGTTGCATTCATCAATCTCTTTCAGTACTTTCATTGCTGTATTCTCG